GATTTCCCAAGCCTAAGCAATGGTAAAAAAATCGACCTCTCTCCCCAAACAGTACGGTGAAAAAACCAGAAAAGCTAACCCGTTTACCGATGATAATTTCTTTACGACAGAAACATATTTCAACAAAAAAACTAATACGTTTTATGTCAAATAGTCTAAGGGTTAGCTGACTACAAAACAGAGGTCAAAATATCATCTTGTCAGGCTCCATTCATAGTTTAGGCGGGAATCGGCGGAATTGAGCAAAAACCACCCAATTTCCTCGATTAAGGAGAGCAGATAGTTTAAAAAAATATTTGATCAACATGCTGGTGAAGAAGAAACACCCCCTCAACTAGTCCATATTGGGTGAAAAGCCACCGACCTTTGTGAAGTCGTCCACAGTAGCATTTACAGCGAAATTCGTGAAAAACTGGATTAAAATCCATATTTCTGACTTCATTTGCAGTTTAGGTTTAACGTTGGAATTTTCAAACCGCAGACAATTTCACCACCAAATATTGATTAAAACTGAGGAAAAGGTCTGTTCTGAGCCCCATATATGCGTCAGGGTCACAAAAAAATTTCTGACCCAAGAATGACATAGTTTGTCAATTAATTTCGTGCGTATTTTTGATGGTGCTTTCATCATCAATTTTTCGTGGTAACAGGAGAAATATATTTTCAAGTTTAATACATGTTTTCTACTTGAAATTTAACTGGCTTTTCAATGGAATAAGAATAAATTTGAAATTCCTTAAAACTAACCTAATATAGTCGTCTACTCTACTATCACTTTTTAAGTTGAGACCACAGAACTATACTATTCTATCTAGAAGAAGTACTGGACGAGCGATAGTAGCCACACTATGAGCGCCGTCTATGCACATTCACCAACTAATAATACACTGGTAGGTGTTGCACCCGAGCGCCACCACTTCTCACCTAGCAACTAAATAATACACAGATGGGTATGTGCGCCACCGTCGCTCCAGTTGACACACAACTTTGTATACTCAAATCAGCAGGGAATCATACCCATTGGTTGAGACTATGTAAATAATTTAAAGAAGAAAATCCAACCCTTAAATTTTCAAGCGGGACATTTTAAAAATTCAGCAAAGGTGGTTGCAGTAGTTTGTATAACACCTGCAGAAAATTGTACAGGCCAATTAAATTTTGATACGGGGCCATCCATAAATTATGTACCGCAAAAATAGCAATTTTCTAGACCCCCTTTAACACGCGTAACATAGACACGATATCATCGGAGGCTTAGACTCTCCCCTCTTGCGTTACATAATTTGTGGACGGCCTGTTGGCTGCCTGAAGTACTGGTTATCTTGTGAAATAAATTACTAGCTAATTTAATCATATTCATCCTCCGAAATAGTTTTCATAAACTCGAGTTTATAATCCTTCCGAAATAATCTGTTCATGCATCAATATATATATTAATTAGCAATGACTTAATTAATTTTTTAGTGGCAAATGCAATTTTTGTTGTCGTTGCAGTGTGTAATAAACGCCGTGGTATATTATATGGTTAAAATGTCTGGCCTCGCGGTGATGCAAAGCCACCATCTCCTGTTACAATGATGAGGTGACGAGATATTTAAAAGATAAGGCCATAAATCTTGTTTTTCACTTTTAGCAGCGCCTCACATAAGGAAGCTTTTTTAAAGTTATTTTATTCCTGTTCAATTCAAGTGAATAATAAATAGATGAAGAGTAATACGTTTAGCACGTGCACCTAGAGTGGAATCATTGATGATGCTATGAAAACCTTAGAATGCGCATAAAGTTTCTCGGTATCAAGATGGCAAAAATTATATTCTAATCACATGATTGTGTTCGTCAGAAATTTCCTTGTCGGAAGCGACAAGGGAACCTTCAGACTAAATCTTGGCAATAAATCTTAGGATTTGTTTTCATACTTATGTTTCCTCCCTGCCTTGACTCATTAATTAGGGAAATTACCTTCACTTCAGACCCGATATTATATGTGTATTATTCTTGTCCATTTTCGTTTAGGTACACCAGGATACTAAGAATTTTTATTCTGATAACAACAATAACGGAACTTCAGTATTTAGAACTTTAAACGCTCGCACTGCAAATTTTAAGTGACCAGGAAATTATTTTTCAATTCTCCCATTTTTATATTCATTTCCGGTACAGATCAGTGAGCAACGGAAATTAATTCGCAATCTGAGAAGAAAAACAACAATAGAAAAAGCTGAAAGTGCGAGTCGAGTGAAAAGTTGATACATTTTGATTTCATGACATTTGAATAATAGCTTCTACTGATATTAGCAGATTCGTTTAAGTATATGTACGAGCTATGCATCACTGCGCATATTTATTTATCATGCTTATCTACCATATTTGTCTACCATGTATTGTATTTATGACATGTTTGTGATAAGCGTCATATATTATTATTGAAAGAGTCCTCAGATGTGTACTATATCTTGTACTTAAGATTAATTTGCAAAATGAGCACAGCACATATGGGTCGGACATGGTTCGTTTGAGCTGAAAGATGGAGAAAGGGTTTGAAATGAGTGAAATCAAGTGAAACTGAGTGAGTGGTTAGAATCCTATCGTGCGATTAGTTTATCTTCCCACAACCAAGAGGCATAGTTAAAACCAGTGATGTTTTACAAGATGTATTGCAAGAACCGATCAAGTTTGAGACATTTTGAAAGGGAGTAGCAAAGTATATTTTTAGATTTGCATGTTATCAGTGAACAGCGTTACAATTATAAAGTGTAGAGAAACTGCATACTCGAAATGTATTTGTTTCTTAACTGTAATTCAACAAGTGCCAAATTCAAGTAAGCTTGCTTTGCATGGATTATTTATGTGATTTGATATGAGCGATGAGCAAATCGTTACAGAATTGGTTATTAGCTGTTCATCATTCGGAATTGATCTGGAACTACCTAGAACTACGTAAAAATGAATCGATTTTTATATCATTATAATGGTACCAGCAATATTTGTATATTGACGTTATCAGAGCCTTCGATTCAGTTAATATGACCTCTGATTCAGTTAATAAAATATTCAGTTTATATGACCTCTGATTCAGAGGATATATTAACTGAATATTTTATTTGTAAGTTTTTTCGTGAGTATGCAGCATCACTTCTTCAGGCAAGAATTATAATTATTTCCAAATTAGGAAAGTTTTGTCAAACAACTTAATAAATACTTTGTGCGTATTTGGTTGCAGTTGTTAATATTTTAAAAGTTTTTATTTTTGTCAGATGCGATTTGTCAGTTTTTAACCGTGTTCGGCCCAAATTATGGGACCAGGCATACCGTTAAAGACTTTCTTCCTTATTTGATACGTTTAATGCGTAGACGGACTTTCTCTTTGAGAGGTGACATTTTTTCATTAGTTTCATCTGAGGCTTCCACACTTGCTTTTGGCCAAAGGATACGAATGATACAAAAGCCTATAAAAAGACCTTTGATGAGAAGTTCTCTCTCATGATCCAATGCTCCAATCAGCTTAATGGACATGGCATACATAGTCAAACATTATGTAGTACGAGAAATGGTATTACTTTGTACCAACGTCGTAATAAAATTGTTAATGTCAATGTGCTAATTATATCAATTACAGTACGTAAGAAGTCCATGGACTTTTTGTGAGAAAACTTTTTGTCAAGTTCCGAGTAATTGTACGAATGACATATGTATTTGTACGTACAGAGGGGTGGGACAGAAGAAGGAGCCACGTTACCTGAATTTATTGCGGCCTTATTTTTCGTTTGTGAAGTTTGGTAATTGGTTCAATGTGAAGCCCTTTAGTTTATCTAACGAGCCTCAGTAGCTTTTTGCAACCAGTCATGACCTTTGACACCATTTTCAGAGTGATTCTGCACCACTCGTCCTGAACGCTTTTCCAAAGTGCATCAAAACGTGCGCGTTTTCCTTTCAAGAAGGCTCCCTTTTAAGTACCCGAATCCAAAAAAAAAACATCGGATTGATATCAGAGGAACTAACGAGAGTTTCTATAGTAGGAATAATTGTTATACCCAAACTTTTTTTAAAATCCTTCGTGTAGGCTGCTATTTTGTGAGAAATAAGTTGGGTTGAGAGCATGATCTCGGGATGTCCTACGAGTCACTTGCTGTAGGTCATTGTGAATGACTCTAGAAATGTTCTCCTACTAACGTTTAACATTTTCGCCATGCAACTTTCGCCATGCGGATTAACCTTTTTGACGAAAAATTGATTTTCCGGATAAACTTTTTGGTTCAAGCGGATCTTGGGTATCCTATCCGTGGGGGTGGAGCTCTTACCGCTTTTTCCCTCCTCTTGATTCCAACATTTTTAAGTACATTAGAAACGTACTTTCGACTTACGATAAATCCATTTGCAGCAACTTTTCTAACAATCGCTCTCTGGCTCAATCTGTCTTTGGAAAACACTTTTATGCGTGCCTCGCACTCTGGGGGGTGCTATAGGGGCATTTTTAATCACAGGGAAAATCTGAATAGGGCTAAATTTTCGTAAACTATCTGGGTATGACATATGCAAATTTTTAAAATGCCGCGACTGTGCATCACACGCCACCCCTAAAATTCAAGTGGCTCCTTCTTCTGTCCCAACCCTCTGTATTTGTACTTTTACGAATGGGAACATTGCTACACTTTTACACGTGTATACATATGTACGTACGAGTATTTTGGTGAATTCCCTAAGGTGAATGTGAGATTTCTGTGAGACTGCTGTACCAATTAGAGCTTTGTGATCTTCTGTGATCTTCATGTGATTTCAAAAGTTTATTTTACTAACCTTGAGCTTTTCGTCAGTATTACTATATTAAGTTATCTCTTACGTGCAAACACTGCTTTGCCATTTTAGCTACATTTTGTATAGAGTTGTGACAAGGTAAATGTTGACGAATAAAATTAAACTTCAATCGACACGTATAGCAAACCTACGACCCTTCATATTTGCTTTGGAAACTTTCCTTTAGAAATCGGTTGTCATTTTAACAAGTTTTGGAATCTCATCCGTGGTGCATGTCATTGTCAAATATGTTATATGCATATGTAGGTACATGTGTACATGTGTCCATAAGGTTAATGTATACGTTACTTCCACGATCGATTTAGTACGCATCCGTTTCGTGTCAATCTCAACAAGAGGAGAGTATAGAAAGTCAATACTTTCTCCAATTTGAAACCGAAAGATGTTCAATGCAAGTCGTGGTCGCACTTATTTCACTGGAATTCTAAACTTCTGTTCAGAATGATTAATTGTGTTCATACACACGTGTAGATTCTGTTGCACGCGCAGCACAATTTTGGCGTAGTTTCATTTCACTATTTTTTTATCTACATATATTGCTTTCCAATATTGTGTGTACGCAAGAATTTTTTTTCTCGGGCGGATAAATCGATTTTTGACGATCTTGATTTATTACTTGCTCCCAAAATGTTAGTTGTAGTGTGACGAGGATTCATTTATAAAATCTCAGTTTCAACCTTGTCAATGAAACGATTTAGAGTAAGAAATGATTATCTATGGTTATCCACAGAGTGGTCATACGAATAAGTGCAACCTAGATGTATCAGAAAGTGTCATGGGTTGCGTAACCGGAATACAAAGAGGTCAATCATTTATTTGCACTTATATAAACATGGCGGATTCCATTGTACACACGAGTACGTGTACGTATGGATTTCGATTCATACGTAAGCCATACATATGTCACTTTCAGATTTAGGTTGAACTTCTTCGTACAACCACCCTTTGAATAATAGATAATCATTTCTTACTGTAAACCGCAAATGTACGTAGATGTGTACTTCATGTCATCCTAAGTTCTTAGAAAGTATTATGGAAACATTTCATATTTCATGACTAAACTTCAACCATAAACTCATATTTATTTACATAGTCAGCTTACTTACTTCTCACGCCCACATACATATGGAATTTAATGCTGTGAAAATAATTCATGGACATACCTAGATACATACACGTACAAATATAATTATTCTATGCTAGTACATAATTAAAGACTGGTAAATAATTAACTTTAAGTTATTGCTCATCGTGATATTCAATAAATGATGTAACTATTATGCTTATCAAATCTCATCTCCAGTTCATTCCAGATTTTAGCGTTGTCATTGTGAAATAAATAGAAACCAGTTCGATCGACTGATATCAGACAATGAGTTACATTTAGCACACTTGACAGCCAGCACTAGCATTAAGCATTCTTTTTAATTAAAATTCCAATTGTGAAAAATTATCAAGTTCTTATTGTAGTCCAGCAGTTCTGTTTTTATCCAAACACGTGTCGTAGGTAGTTATCAATTCCAACTTTGGCAACGCTTATCACTGGCATTAAAATAGTGGGAGTGGACACTTCTTCAGCCAGTGTGGATGCAGGATCCAATTTACAGCGACCTAAAATAGAGTAGATAATCCGTCGATAATTATAAATTCAACCGGGATGGCATCCCAAACCCCAAAGTACCGCTTGACATACTGGAATGCGAGGGCCTTAGCGGAACCCTTGAGGTAGATTATGTGCCAACTCATTTCTTTAAATCTGTTCAATAATTGCTATATTTTTCAAATTGACTTGTTTGAGGTGAATTTTTCATTACACGGGAACCCCGTTCGTTGATGACCGAATTCCTTGGGATATACCTCTCTGGTTTACAGAAAATAAGAAGAGTAGGTCAATATCTACATATATATTATCCTTAAACCACATAAATTATGTCTCAGAAAATGTACATAATCGAAATTACCACAGAATTCGCATCTACGGCGTATCAGATACCAGCATTTTTTGAAGACGATAAAGCACCAATTGGTCAATCGCATGTGATTTCGAGATATCTCGCCAATAAATTTGGATTAGTGGGAGACACAAATATTGAAAATGCCAGGGTTGACGAAGTGATCAGCATGGTGTATGATTTATTCATTTGTAAGATTAGATATATCTGGAGAAAATGTTGATTGCACGAATAATTACTTGAGCTGTTATAATTTTTAGGGTATCGGATGCTTGTAATTTTCGAAAAAGACTTAGAAAGAAGGAAACAAAATCGTATGTTTGTCGAGTCAAGGATTCAAACTTTCTATGCGCATTGGAACAAGATTTTAGAAGAGTCGGGAGGTGATTATGTAATTGGGAAGAAGCTAACACACGCAGATTTTTGGTTAGCAAGTTTTGTGCAGATATGGGATGACCCAATGGTAATAGTTTCTGGATAAGGGCTTGTTAATATGACTCAATAATATGTGTACGTTCTAATTGTAGGAAGGAAATGGACCAGTTCTGTCGCCAGGATTTCAGCAACCTTCACAAGCTGATGCGTTTCTAAACTATACGGATAACTTTCCGGCTCTTAAAGCCCACAAGGAGAAAGTTACGTCAATCCCGCAAATTAAAGAGTGGATTAAAAAGCGTCCCAAAACTAGTGCATAACATGTGCATATATAGAAACGAAATATGTATTTGTGAAAAATGGGATACTCCTGTAATTATGTTAGCTTGGTTCATTTTTATTTTCCACAATAATTTCTGAACAAGCTTATGTATTCGTGTTAAATAAATTCAGTGATACGAAGCACAGCATGCGTATTAAGCAGAATATCCAAACGCCGAGGTGCTGTTCATTACGTTATGTATGGAAATATTTAAATTGAAGCAATACGTATAATAAACTAGTGTGAAAACGAAGTCCTAAAAATTCTCTATTGAATATACTACGAAACTATCCATATGCATCATTTCAATGAAAATTAGACTACGGTATCCATTCTCAATAAGTTTGGTCCTTGGTCAATGTGAACTTGAATAAAGAATTTCAAGAAAATAAATTACCCCCCTCGAGAAGGGTGGTGCACATGGACAAACAGACAAAACGTTTCAATTAGTTGTTTCAGTTCCTTCCCTAGTGATAAAAACTGAGCTTAAATTTTGAGCATTCTAAGGTATTGCTTCTTTATTGAACCAGTAGCTTTCATAAATAATGTAGTTTCATTTACAAAAGTAAGAACCACAACCACTCAACTTCTCACGGTGGATTTGGAGCTTTTAGATAAAAGTCACCTTTTGCCCTAAAAAACCACAACATTTCTCATTGCACCGAATTAATGTATGTAATTTGTATTTGTAATATTCAGTATACTCATGAGAACAGTAAGGTCCCAGGTAGGTCGGATATATACAGGGTAGCAGACACCTATCCAGCGTGATACTTCCCAAGGAGAAACTACCCAAGGCTGGAGTACTCAGGAAGTGGATATCGCACTGACACCCAACATACTTCTTGCTGACTGATGCCGCGTATATGTTGATAGCATACTTGTGGCTACAATCAGATATTGGAAAGCATCCCGGTTGATCCTGACCTCCATTTGCTGCATAAATTGCAAAGTATGCATAAAAGTACATAAATATGTATTGATAATGCACTGAAATTGTATTACGAAAAAAGTCTACAATGCCGTCGTCAATCGGGATTCCATTTAAATCAGCGTCACTGTGAATTGAGTCGACGAAATTAGCGTCTGCTGGATCCATTGGTATCACTGGTCCAAGCAAAGGTGGCACAAAAGCAGGTCCTGCCGGGTCTAATCCTGTGACTCGCTCTGCTTTCATTCCTGGAAATAACTGTGTTCGAATATGTTTTCCAACATTTCCGGAAATGTGGGCGCCTAAGGAGTGTCCGATGAGATGCAGTTTGTTCAATGTGGCGATATTGTTGTGAACTAACATTTGAATAAACATGGCGATCCTCATTGCAATGGGTTCAAGGTTGTTTAAGACGTCTTTGTAGCTGAACAATATTCCAAACAGTTCAACAAAATTTTTCGGGAAACGAGGTTGTGACAAGGCGGACCAATCCATCACGATAATGTTGGCTTGGAAGCCCTGCTTTAGATAAGCTGTGGGCCAAATGACAAGATGTTTCTTAAAATTTCCTAATTTCAGTGAGCTTGTAAAATTGTTTTACCATCCTTAATAGCTTCGAGTCCTTTATAATCGTCAAGAAAGCCATGAGTTAAGAAACAGGTGAGGATATTTGGTCGGAAGGAACTTTTCCGCACGGAATTCATATCACCAAACAGCAATTCTTCTTTATACTGGAGGTCGCTGGATTGACAATAAGATGCAAGATTGAAGTTGAAATATCCTGTACTTGCTGTTTTTAATATACATATGTTGAACTTACTGTGCTTTTGGGAACAAATAAAACTTAATACGACGAACGTCTGTGTCGATAAGTGACACATGAGGTTGACCGTGGACTTGTACATTATTTGAGATCAATAAGAAAAATGTGATAATATTAATGAACAAGAATTTATACTGTTGTCGAGAATGACAATTTCTCAATGATTTTGGACTTCTTAAACTGAATTGTGACATTGCTAAGATAAAATTGACTTGCTTATGAAGCTTAAAAAGAATAATTTTAACTGAATTGAGAACTAGATCACAAATGCGAAAATATGCCGAATAATGAACTGTGTTTTAATGATTTAGTGTAATAAAAGGCTTAAATCGATTTGTAAATCTTTCGATGGGGTCAGTAGGTAGCAAGGATTTGTCCCACTGAATGATTTTCTATCACAACATAAATATGTATTTGTGTAGTGCAGATTTAACATAGTATATTTTATGATGTGTATTTACGACCATTTTAATACACGGTCAGACATGGTATTAAATTTCGGCAGTTAAATTGTAAACCTGATTCAATTAAGAATTGACTTGCATTGTGGCCGGTTTTAGGTTGGATTTTGATATTTTATAGTGCAAAAACTGTATATTAATTACTGGACTTTTATTGTTGAATTTGATTTAGATTTAGAAAGAAACCTGATATTCTGTGGTCATCATACAAACTGCATGCAAAAAGTACTTGGATGGGTATTTTGTTAAGCCAAAGTTGTGCCAATCTGAGCCACATGGTAAAAAAATTTCTAAGGTACTCGTTTTCGGGGTTCGAAATGAATGGAAGGATGCACACAGCTTATTTACTATTGAAATATATACACCGACCATTATATTTCCAAATTTCATATGCTATGCACTTTTATCGATGCTTGAGCATGAATATTGTTGCTTTGGGACTCGTACCACTACTTCTTAGGTGAAAATTGAAGTGCATATTAAGCGAAATTAGAACCGGTCTTTGTCTAAATCATCATCATCGTCATTTTAATCATTTGTGCAGACAGATTGTTAGTCAACAACACGAAAAACTGGACTGATTTCCATGCAAAAATGAAGCTTCGTGTTTTTTATTCGTTCCGATCTTTTGGTGTCAAAAACCTGTATCTTCATCACCATATGAAAGTTAAGTTGGCAGGTTCGACGATCTGTTACATACTTTAAGTGAGACTTACACACACCGAGAGTAAAATTGGGTTTACTTGTCGCAAGATTTGTTTACAAATTATTTAATTTAAACGAGTTTACCTGTCACAAAAGCAGTACAACAATATGAAATTCGCCGTGTGTTTGATAATATTTGTTATGTTTGAAACTAGTGAAAGTGCTCCTTTTCCTCCAAGTATACGAAAAGGAGTTGAATATCTTCTCCCATCTCGACTTTTCTACAAGCCCAAAAAATCTACGCCGTATTCCGGAGAGTCAGTCGAACAGGTGCAAGGTGAGTTGCCTAACCGTGTAAAATTTCACGAATTACAAGATGGGTCAAGTTCGGAAGAAATTGTTACGCATAGTGCTCAACATTCTGACCCAAGACAACCTTATCGCGATGGGGCGACTCGTAAGATTTGCAATTTTGTCTCGTACATGCATATTTAACCCTTATCATATTTAACCCGTAAGTTGTTGTTTTATTTGTGCCAAGGCTTCTTCCCAAAAAATCAACACGATTCAGGGGAAGATGTGCAAGACGATGTACAAGATGACCTTGAGGTAAAATCCCGAGATGATGAAAGCGACGAGGAAAACGATGAAGATAAAGAGAAGGAAGATGGTGCTGGTGAAGATATGGACACTGATGTCGAATACAGTCCTATATTTCCGGTGTCAACTTGGCCAGAGTCGTGTGAGTAGATAAATTAAGAGATTCCCCTCACTTATTTCTTGTATAGTTTTGAATAGTTGTGTATATATTTTTTTAATTAATAGCTTATGGGTCACGAAGGCGGTCAAATATTCCTATTGCATTTAATGCACAAGGCTCATCAAGAGGATTTTTATACTTATCTGGACAACAAATAACCAATTTTAATGGAATGGGGTTCTAAAACTTTTAAGCGAGTTGATAAATACATATTTAGAGAGAACAAGCGTGTATTAAGAAGCAATTAAGTACAATAAACCGATTTTGCATTGACTTCGGTCAATGTATTCGTGTATTGCAAATAAATTCGCATGACTTTGTCCAGAATTGGTTGGTATAATATTGTTAGGACTTTTAATTGCATAAATTCGACAAAACTACAGATGTCAGGACATGGAAAATCAGGAAAATGCGTCATGGAAAATGGAAACTAATCTTAAGTAGAGTAAAGAATCTATGGATTTGTTCATTTTGACGCTTACTAAACGAACAAAGCATGAGATTACGAATACACAGGACATACATATATATGTATATTATGCATTGGATGAACTTATATGCAAAATACACAAAAAACAGGTATATGTATGTACGTATGCATTTATCGCGTAACTGGACAGTTGAAAGAATAGTGAACAAATGGCGTTAATATTGTAACACCTGACTTTAAAGCAAATTTTTTTTTTCCGTGCGGTAACGAAATCAAGGTACATATCTATATTGATTTAACAACGTGTATGCTAGTATAGTACTACAGCATCTGGAAATTTTATGTCTGAATTAAAGGCAAACTTATTACAGCCCTTGACACCTGGAATTATGCTAAAACTCGTCTGTGTGGATGACTTTTATACAGCTGCGAAATCAAAACTGACCGCTGACGGGACATGGGATTATTTGGAAGGTGGTTCCGACGATCAGTTTGCACTTCAACAAAGTCGCAAAGCATTCCAACGGTAACTAAATTAAATCATTGATGCACTAAACATGTGTATATTTACTTCTTATGAGCATTTGTGTACAAACATAAAGTGAACAATGTGTACCTACATATTTTTATCGCAGTCACTTGAATAAAGATTGAATTGAATTGATCTGTAGCTTTAATTTGTTCCTGCTTAAGCTACGTCGTCCGACCAAGATTCTTAAGAGATGTTTCTACCCGTGACCTGAGTGCAACAATTCTTGGAAAAAATGTATCCTTTCCGGTGGGAGTGGCACCGATGGCAATGCAGAAACTTGCTCACCCCGATGGCGAATGTGCAGCAGCGATGGGTAAAATACCTTTAAGAGAACAAGACACATTTACAACATGGCGAATAAAAAATGAGTCAAAAGATGAGTCTATCATATTGTACGAATTTTAGGAGCTGGTGCTGTGGGAACGATTTACATCTTAAGCACAATGTCGACCTGCAGTATCGAGGAGGTCGCGAATGCTGCTCCAAATACGAGGCTGTGGTTCCAACTGTACTACCAGAAGGATAGGTTAGCGGGTATTTATTTATTAATACTATATAATTAAACACGAGACATAATATTTGTACTTTTTTTAGAAATGTAAATATTGACCTGATCTCCAGAGCTGAGAAAGCTGGCTATGAAGCTCTTGTTCTTACGCTAGATACGCAAATGATTGGGAAAAGGAGAGGAAACCTCCGGACGCCATTTAATCTTCCGGAGAATGCAAAGTTGGTAGCTTGCTAGTGTAAGTTGTCAACTATTAGATACGTATATTAACCAAGTTGTTTTTACAGATTAGCAAATTTCGAGTCCAGTGCTGGTAATGATGTGAATAAAATGAGAGACAACTCCAAACCCGTCAGAGATATGAGTGTTACCTGGGATGTGATCAATTGGATTCGTGGGTACGTTAGTAAAGTAACGTTTGTCCACGAAAATTAAAACAAAAATCAATAAAACTAGAACGTTTATAACATTGCTATATTAAAATCATGCAGCCAGACAACGATGAAACTTGTCCTTAAAGGGATCTTGACGGGAGAAGATGCCACCCTAGCTGTGGAGAATAAAGTGGATGGTATAATTGTGTCGAATCATGGTGGTAGACAATTGGACTGTGTCCTCCCACCGGTATGAATTTTTCGAGAAATTATATACTGATACTGTCTGCACAAAATTAAAATGGCCTGTTTTTTGTAGTTACGCTTGTTGGTTACATAATAATAATATTATGCAGACAGTAATTATGTATACCACGGAATAAAAAAATATTCATGTGCATATGTAGATTGACGCTCTTGCCGAAGTGGTTGCGGCTGTTGGGAAGAGTGATTGTGAGGTTTACATGGACGGTGGCGTGTCTTTGGGGTCAGATGTTTTCAAAGCGTTGGCACTTGGGGCTAAAATGGTATTAAAAATGATAAGTGTACATCATGACGAATTTCAGTGAACTTTTGATTTGCGCAGGTTTTTGTGGGGAGAGGAGTCTTATGGGGATTAGCAGTGGGTGGACAGCAAGGGGTAACAAAAGTATTGGATATATACAGATCCGAATTGGATTTAACTTTAGCTTTGTCTGGTAAGTCATAGGCTAATATCTGCATAATTAATAAAGATTACAAGCAAATAATTCCTTTCTTACAAAAACAACTTTAGGTGTCGCAAAATCCTGCCAAATAAATTCTGCCTGTGTGCAGGCGTATTCACCACAATGATACTAAATATGTATAAAAATAATTAATATTTGCAGAATAATGAAAGAATAATGTTGAACAAACTACAGAAGGCTATTTTCATTTTTTAAACAAAATAAACATGAATTTAAGTAATACTATAAGTTCTTATCTTAATACCTGATATAGCTGTTAAACCTAAATATAGTCTACAGAATCACTTATTGTGCTAATAATAGTCCTTGACAGGCTTGGAGACACATAAATAAGAGCAAAACAGGTTTTGGGAAAAAATATGAAAGTGGCAAAAGATATTTAATTTACAGCATAAAACCATATGATATCAATTGTAATATGGCCAGAGTAAAACTGGCTATCCTTATAAAAATAACTCTTCAAAAATCTTTGGCATTGAGCATCTGACATCCAAAAGAATCAAACTAAATTTGCACTCACATTATACATCAAAGATGAATGCAGATATAAACTTAATCATTATTTTCGTCCTAATGGGAGAATTTATTTCGGTAACATTTACCACTAAAATTTCATCGTATTCAAATTTATCAAAAATTTCGAATTTTGATCAAACTATTTTTACTATGGACAGGAATCCCAATCCAAATTTGGACACCCTGGAACTCCAGCTTCAGCCACAATTCTATTAAATGGAACCTACACCTGGGAGTATTTCCAAGATATTGATAACTCTGCCAGAGATCACCCAATCTCAATAAATACCTCGTTGATTGGAAGCTATTCCAGTCTCGTGGATGCTATCAGAGAGTCAAAGGACAATACAAGTCCTCCTGCAGATTTCGACTTTTCCGGAGAATTTGAGATTGACGAGGTCGAAATAAAAGATAACCTTGGGTTGGACACGTCCGAGATAAAGAACGTATTAACTAACATTGTAAAAAAGAAGCATTCCATAAAAACGGTCACCTCCAGAGAGTTGAGTGGCGATGATTTTGCAACTGTGTCTCTACAATCAGAAAAATTACCGCTGTATCGACTCGTCTTTCGTGGGGCTGGCATCATTCATGACACAGATTCAGTTTCCACTACTCGTCATCCCGCTGACCAAATTGGAATTTCTCTGGAATTAAATCAACCCTACTTTCTCTCAGGGATTGAGGTTGTCTACACGAAAGACAACAGTAGCAAACCGGACAGCATTATCAGCGAAGTGAATGGAAAAAATGCTGATTTAAATGCGGGTTTTGGGGGTGACTACATTTGGCTTGTGCCAAAATGGACTAGTCGACTGGACCAGGGGTTGACCTCACTCCGGATAGAATTGCAAAACACGGAGGACAAGGCTTTCAAGGATTTGGCCAAAGGGGCCGGTGGGCTTTATCGTTATTTGAAGACGGTAAAGGATGTCACGGTCAAGAAACGGATTAGTGAAGTCGCTTTGTGGAGAACAGATAAGGCTGACGAGATTCCGGGTGGGCATCCGTGGGAGGGATGCACATCAGATATTAACCAGTATCGAAAGAAAGATTATCTGTACATCTGCTGGAAAAGTACATAAATAAATGTGACCATGTCTATTTCAAATATTTTATTTCAAACGATTTACAAAATTATCTTGTTTCCTTTCGAGATTAGGTTATCAAAAATTTGACACTTTGTTATATTAAAAATGCGAAATAAATGGACAAAATTTAACCCCATTGCTTTCCGTATACCCAATTTGTGAAGTAGGGCGATCTTTTCATCCGAGTCATTAACAGAGACCTCATTGCAGGGAATTGATATTGTTTGTAGCTTGAAATAATTCCCGAATTGGTTTCTGAATCATGAGCAAAATCGGTTTGATCTTTACTTGATGGGTCACGTATGGGGTTTGCGTCAATAATTACGTATTCGATAAGACATAAAAACAACATGATAATGACTTTGGTTCCCATTTTTGTTGCTGCTCTGCCTGTTAAGAAAACGAATGATTAATTTTAAAATTCACTTAAAAAATAATCTTAAGGCAGGTGTACCTTGATACTGTAGCTATTTTAAGGGAGTAAAATTTTGAGTTTTTGCTTTTGCAATGTCGTTAGAGTCTTGTTACACAGAAAATGATGAGAATTATGAGTAGCATAAAATATATATTCGCTGTGAACGTGATCACTTGTCAGGTTCTGCATTTCTAGTGACAGACTCAACTCAGTTTGCTAATTTAAATTGAAAAATAAGCAATTAAAAAATAAAGAACCGCATAATTAAGCTGGCCAACTAATGCATATGCATATGAAGAAGACAAACTCACTCAGAAACCACTGAGGAAAGTACACATTTCTACGTAAAATACTTTAAATGTGGCGAAACAGCCAAGTAAAATTAAAGTTTAAATAAATAATGTACACATATCGTCTTTATGACTTAATTGTCTTTTATGCAACTTCTAAACAGTGATAAGTGACTTGTACAGAGTAATGGGAGGGCAATTATGTCAATGTATGTACATACATGATAAATGCGAGGTAAAGAGAGGCATACTTAAGTTACATATGTATGCACATTATGCACTTATGCAGTACGCTGAAAGTTGTAATTAAAAAAATGATACTACAATATTTACAAGTAAATTACGCGAAAATAAATATTTCATATTAGACGCAGTTTAAAATGGAAATCTACTCTGCTCTCAAAATTTGATTGGGTTGTACGTTGTCTTTGTACTTGAGGTTGAAATATTTTATCCACATAACGAATACAGTGTAGTCATTCATGTGTACACATAATACATTTGTGCACGACATATATACGAGTAAGTATTTTACTTGTATGGCCAAAATCGCACATAATAATGCTCTTGCATGCCAATAAAATACACATATGTGACATGTATGGACAATTGCTAAACTATTGCAATAATTGTTTGAGTCCTCAAGTCTCCGATAAAATGATAAGAACTTGATTAGAAATAAGAGAATCGAAATTTACTTATCACATTTTAAATCAATCAATTATAAATTAATCGAAAGTGTGGCATGATATAAAATTATGTACTAATTCAATTGAGTTCACTCACTCATCCAGACCAATAACTTGTAAAAATGTCTCAAATCCTCTTTCTAATAGTCCTACTTACCCTGGGGTCTACCCAGGCTACACTATCTCCAAAAATCTCCCCCAATCTCGTATTAAAATTCAATCAAGACCCCACGACCAACATCATCATCACCTTCGCCACGGGAACATCCGCCGTTTTGTCGTACATCTCCGAGAACGATTTTCCAGACAGAGACACGCTCCTCTTTTCCCTCGCCACGGCACTCGACATAAATTCCGTCCAATCCCAATCATCCGTTCGAAACTTTCTCGCAACAACGAATTTTACTTCAGACCCGCTCTGGGTGACAGATCAACTCTGGGTTAAGGATTCCACTGTAGAATTAGTCTCTCAACTGGCCGAATTTCCCGAAGTTATTGAAATCTTTGAGGACGAGTTGACATTTTCCTTTTCAGAGCCAAGTTCTCCCATCCTCACCGGTCGGTCCAGCCCTCTCGCAGAATGGAACTTGGAAAAAGTTAAGGCTGAAGAAGCTGTAACCCTGCTGAAAAACGTGTCCACCAACATTCCCACAATTCGAGTATGCACGATCGACACTGGTGTCCGAGTGACGCATGAATCTCTGCGAGGCAGTTATCTCGGCGAGTACGGTTGGTTCGACCCCGGATTAAGGAGTGACCTGCCAAATGATATGAACGGACACGGGACCCATGTCACGGGAACAATAGCTGGATTGGGAGGAATTGGTGTATATCCGGACGCAAAATGGATGTCTTGTAAAGGATGCGCGACAAACTTTTGCTCAATGTATGACCTGATCCGATGTGGGCAGTGGGTCCTCTGCCCCAGCTTGCCCAACGGATCGAGACGCGACTGCAGCAAAGCCCCACACCTCGTAAGCAACAGCTGGGCTGTAGCTTACACTCCGGAGACCACCTGGTTTGATGACGTCGTCAGAGCGTGGCATGTAGGCAGAGTCGTTCCAGTTTTTGGCATCGGAAACGATGGACCCAACTGCGGCACGGTGGGATATCCCGGAAGCATAGATGTTATCGGTGTAGGAGCCACCACAACGACAGACGCCATTGCCCCGTTTAGCAGTGTAGGCCCAAGTATTCATGGCGTTTTGAAACCGGATGTGACCGCACCGGGACAAAATGTTCTTTCGGCGGCCCATACGGGGGATAATGAGTACCGCGTTTTGTCAGGAACATCTATGGCGTAAGACTACGGTTATGAAAACCTTTATTTTGCAATATTTGAGAGGATTATGGGTTTTTTCAGATGTCCACATGGGGCTGGGGTGACGGCAATTTTGCTCGCTTACAATCAAACAATGTCCTATGATCGAGTAGTGGAAGCACTTTTTACCGGAGCGGATACAAACTTGGTGACGACTGGGCGTGTTTGCGGTGGTGTTATTGATACAACTTTTCCAAACCATGTATTTGGTCATGGTAGGTTGGATGCGTTAGCATCTTTAGAAAGTCTAATCGGAGGAAAGATATGAAGACCTCAGGAAATTTAGAAACACATAAAATACTTTAGATGTGAATATCTTTAGCAGATTTTAAATTAGATGACATCTTTTGTAGTATTGGAATTTGGTTAATAAATTGGCTGTGCATGGTTGAAGCTTGGAAATAAATTCACATTTTTTAGAACATACTGTCGACATTTGCAAATACTTCCAATGGAGGTCTCCCAACGTATGCTCACAGATTTGGACGAAATTAGTGTCAATCGATCACAAATATAATTAGTATGAAATTTGCAAATGGAACTATCTGCCAATGCGCAGGTTTGGCGGAGATAAAGTACGCAGTAAAGGAAAACATGAAATTTATAATAAAGTAAATTTCTCCTGAGATACGATTTTGGGTAAAATTTCTTATCATTTGCATGATGCATGCATATATGTACATATGCATGTAAGGTATGTATATGCAGGTACATTTATTAAAACTGACTCCTGTAATGCTACATAAGAATCGATCGGCAAAGGGTAGTGTCCAACCAGTAATTCAAATACTTCAAACATTTTCACTAGTCACTTAGAAAATATAGCATTGCTACGATACCATAACTCTCAATTAACCTTATAAAAACTAATTAATTTTGACCTGGATACCATTTAAAAACGGAATTAAAAATGGTTTCTATTGCATTTGGGGGCGGATTTACTGGGGGGCAGAATACCATTGAGACCGACTTGTGGGGCGGTGATAAAATCAGTTGGGGACTGAATTAATGCAAACCGATTTTGAATATTCTACTGATGCAGTTATGATTTATTAGAGACCTGGAACTGATTCGACAACAAAAATTAGAACATAATACATTTTTAACATGAAATTGCAACTGAACCAAATGAACACACGATATTAATTTTGATAAAAAGATCGGATTTGATTTTGATAGTACTACAAAAATAAACTAAACGAATAAATCGTCATCATTCATGTCATCAATTTGATGACACTGATTTTGGGATGCATTTTATATTTTAAACAAGTTATTAGCTATAATTTTGTCCTTCAGTGTTCTGTGACTTGTTCCGATCGGTGGTGACACTATTGCGAATATATTAGCTAAAGAGAACGTTGTGATAATTAAAAAAAAATATGAACTGTATCATATTTACAACATGATACAGGTCAGAGGTCAACGCCGACCAATTTATTAGCGGCGCCAATGTTGGATAATTTTTCGGGGGCGCGGCGTGACCTCTGATGCACTTCCTCCGAGTTCCTCCCCCCACTACAACTACAACTCTAAACTCTAAAAAAATTAGTTCAGGCTTGAAGAAAAACCAACGACAAATAAGGAGGAAAGAATGGAACTGAGAAAATTTTCTCGGTCATTTTATTTTTATTTTTTCCTACACCTTATTGATGTAGCCCGGTCTCAACGGAATTCTGTAACCATACACCTTATTGGTGGAATCCGTCGCCAACGAGAAAAAGTTGGCCTACACCTTATTGGTGTAGTCCGTCGCTAAGGCGAAAAATTTGGCCTACACCTTATTGGTGTAGTCCGTCGCTAAGGCGAAAAATTTGGCCTACACCTTATTGGTGTAGTCCGTCGCTAAGGCGAAAAATTTGGCCTACACCTTATTGGTGTAGTCCGTCGCCAAGAGATCGAAATCGCCCTCCACCTTATTGGTGGAATCCGTTTTTAAAAGGTTAACATTGGAGTAACGATAAAAAACAAGATACATTCTTCCAGTATGAAAATTACCCAATATATTTAAATATCCATACTTATTCACATTTTTTTGGTGAGATATTAATGAACATTGGACCTGACCCATCAATCACTAACACACCGTTATGGCTCCTGTCCCTGTATCTCCAGCCCCCAATTCAGGTCCAGGTAAACACATAATAAAGTCACGCAAACAATCATTACTTAACAATCAATTGCTAACTCTGGATTCAGACTCGCTTCTTCCACCAACTGGTTTGCATCGGGTTTCTCGCTCTAACGTCTCCACCCCCAGCTCTCGTGACTCAATAGAAGACGAAATTCGTGACCAATTGTCCCTTGCATCTGGTGGATCTTCTTCCTCCGAGGATGAAGAGGATTTGTTCTCCAGCAATGCTCCAGATAACCCAACCGCAGTTCGTCCCTCGATCGCAATGTTAACAAAAGTTGCCACAAATCGAGAGGCTTATGGTACTTGGAATCACCCCCTGGATTTTACCCTCACCCTGGTTGGTTACGTTATCGGGGTTCACAACTTTTTCCGCTTTCCACAAATGTGCTACAAGTATGGGACGTTGACGTTCCTCGTCCCATACGTCATTTTGATGGGGCTGCTCGGATTTCCAGCAATTTTTATGGAGACAACGATCGGACAATTTTATGGCGTTGGAAGTGCCACTGCATTTCGTCAATTGGCCCCAATTCTAACAGGTTTGGTTATAAATATTTAACATATGTAAATAAATCGTTAAAGTCGGCTATCTAGTAAATTATTAAACTTGAATTTCAGGCGTGTCATATATTCTCGCCTGGAATTCGTTCTTAAATTGTTGGATTTATGGTCTCATCTTAACTTGGACACGATCATATTCTGGCGATTCTCTTTCATGTCTGAAAGGATGGATGGGTTGTGATCCGGGTCATTATTTCAACACGCCACACTGTTACACGGCCATCATGGACGATTGTTGTACCGGACTGGCGTCAATTTCAGATTCGGAATTTTGTCCAGGTAAACACAGGGATTTTAAATTATCCATGTCAGTTCAGCTTATCGTATTATTTATTTTATCTGTACATCCACTACGTAGAATGGATGACAGCAGTTCGAGAGAGTGCCGATGATCAGTACACTCTGATGTACTACGACTTTCAATGCGTTTCTATGATCTCGTTCTGTGCCCTCCATAATTGGACTTTCATCTCGGATAAAACCTGCCTGGATTCAGATGGGAAGACTAAACATTCCATTTATGAGAGGAGAACGCACGCGACGTCGGAATATCTCTAGTATGCAAATATTCTTTTACCTCGTTATTCGTGTAATGTCATCTGATTGATATTTTCTTGCAGCGGATTCGTTCTCGGATTACGTAAAGTGTTTGTAGGACGCAGCCAAACATTGGAACAACGTTTGTGTAAAGCTGCGAATAAACCGACAGACCCGAAACAACCTTTACACCCTGAAGTCTGTAGTAATGAGGCAGTCGCAACCACGGGGGATTATCGTTCCAAAGTATTCCAGGATAAGAAAAATGTGCAAAAGTTTTGGTCCGGAAATGCCACATTTATGCAGGTGTCAAAATCTTAATTTTGCCACAATGTACCATTATAAATTACGATAGGATTGTTGTCTGTTTTAAATAAGTTGGATCCAGAATCGTCCAGTTTCATCCAACTGCCCACGCAAGCCTTGACCACTGTGTTGTTTATAACGTTCTTCCTCTTTGTGGATTTGCTCTCCGTGTCCATCGTCACTTATGTCATGTCCAGCGTGCCATTCGTAATTCTCATCACTCTTTGCGTACACAGTGAGTCCTTGTTAAGTAGAAGTGACGATAAGATGTAATCATAATCAGCTTAATAAATTTGTACATACATTTTATAGCCATGAGTCTAAAAGGTTCCATTCTCGGGATAAACGATATGCTCTCCCTTCGTGGAATCGAGTCACTCTGGAGCAGCGGTTCCCTTTGGGCAGATGCCCTCATTCAGGTGGTCATAACGTGTGGCGTGGGCAACGGAGCTCTCGTTAGTCTTGCCAGTTTCAACAAATATCATCACACGTACATCTTGTAAGAATTTAATAAATCTTTAGGGTGATGCTTGGCGTACTCTAAAATATGAAATACTGGACAATTTTATAACATATAAATATTCACATACAGCGACGCTTTTATCGTCACTCTACTGAATGTGACCACCTCTCTCTTGGCTACATTCATCTGCTTTTGCAGTATCGGTCACTATGTGCAAGACTATGGAATATCGACAGGATTCGAATTTTTTATAAGACCCGAGTCTAGCTATTCTTCTGTGGATTTCGGTTTTTTAGTCTACTCCATTTTTCTCACAATCATTGATGGAAACGATTTTGAAACTTTGGCCGCTTTCTTTATGTTGTCCTCATTTCCTACCGACACAACGGTGAGTTTTCAAGAAATGGGTTAATTTGATGATACCATTCAAGTTATTATTTCCCAAGTTGTAAAACTTGTCGCAATTTGTTCTTGCCAGATCCGCCTCGCCCAAAATATGCTGGACATGGCGGTGAGTATTGAATACTGAATTATAAATTGATCAAAAGTGTGACATGGTATAACATTGTGTTACACAAGATTAATAACTTATCAAAATGTCTCGAATCCTCTTTTTAACAGTCCTAAATGGGTTTAGGTGCAAGTGCTTCCGCGTCTTCGCTACCACTCGGCAATGGCGCTCTTGGCGACGTCCTTTTTCTATCTGGTGGCTCTTCTCCCCATCACGCGGAATGGAGGTGTCATTCTCTTCTTCGAGTTTGAATACTGTGCTCATCGTTTCGCAATGCCGCTCGTCACTCTGTTAGAAATAGTGGCTGTCGCCTGGGTCTATAAGGTGGAGCGTCTCATCGATGATGCTGAATTACTAGGAGTTTCAATCCCATTTTTTCGTGCATATGTCACATTCTCGCTGAAATTCTTTGCCCCAACGGCTCTGTCCGGAGTACTGATTTATAACGCCTTGGCAGAGTCGCGATCTAGAATTAATACGTTGCACTTCACCGATGCAGAATTCACGGAGACTTTGGTGGGATGGATCTTTTCCTTTACGCCTACGATCTTGCTGATTTTTTCGGTCTTGAAACAGCTCGTTTCTGTGCCGAGGGTATTTAGCAAAGTGTTAGTAGCAATTATAAACTTTTATGCAAGTTAATTTTATTTCCAGTCTCAATGGTCCGAATTATTCGTTCCAATGATAACTTGGGAAAATGTACGAACCGCTGGACGGAAACAGCGTCGTGAAAAAGCAAAAGAGCGACGACGTTTTGACGCAGTTCATGTCAGAGCCACGCTAAGATCAACTACTCCGAAAGCATTAAAACCAAGAAAGTCCGTCGTACTTCCAAGTGATGATCCAAAGGTCATAACAAATGAGGATGTTAACCCTTCCGAAGCTAAGCGG